TACACATTCTGTAAACTTTTCTTTCACCCCCACCCCTCATCCTAGTTTCCTTTTTTTGGGATCTGGTAGCTCAACAATCAGCCTAAACATCGAAAATCAAAGACAGGAGAGGAAACAAAAGCTGAAGTGAGTTTAGAGTGAGGGATAGGGGGTAGCCAGTTAGTCTGACGGTCCGTCCCAGGTCCGACGGCTCTCATGAAATGAATGGGAGAGACGTCACCCATTAAAAACAACCAACTTAGCAACAATAAGGGACACGTCACAGTCTCACTATCACTGGGGGATTCACTCTCTCCCTCTACCCACACACACAAGCTGCTGTGTCCCGCATTTACTACCTTCCCTCCCCGCCGCTACGGCTGGACAGAATGTCGACTCGAGGCCTGACTTCACCGCTATTTACATTCCTACCCATACACCCCCCGAGCTTCACTCACCAGCTCCGCCGCCATTACCGAGTTTCCACCGAGCGGCGGGGGCAGGCTCTCAGCCTCGACAACCCGCCTGCCCATTGGACCGCCGGCACATGTCAATCAAAGGAAGGCGTGTCGCCCATGAGAGGACGGCAGAGGTCGCGTCACAGATTGGAATGAACAATAGCACGCCGGGATAGGCTCCTTCCTCCCCCCCCCAAATCCCATCGCCTAACCGTGTGTACAGTTCCCGGATGGCTGGTGTTCCCTGGAATTTCCTTCAGTACTTCACTTCGATTGGTGAACCAGTAGGCCCAATTATCTTCAGCTCCTCCAACACTAAAAACTTTCTATCCAGCTTTCAAGTTCAGCTTCAGCGTCGTGCGTGACTCCTAAGATATTGAAGCAGTCCGTGCCAATAAGTAGTAACGCCTCTGCGACATGTTGATAAGTGATGAGATTCACAGCGTAACACAGTGTGGAACTGGAGGAACACAGTAGGCCAGGCAGGAGAGTTGACGTATCTTCAAAAATGAAGAAGGGTCCCAACCAGAAACATCAACTTTTCTGCTCCCCTGATGCTGTCTGGCCTGCTGTGCTCCTCCAGCTCCACACTGCGTTATCCCTGACTCCAGCATTTGCAGCTCTTACTGTCTGTAAGATTCATAGCGACTGACTGCCCCTGTTCCGCGGCTACATTCGTGCCCGGCTGTAGTTGAAGAGGGAGCACGCGGTGCAGATGACCCCAAGGTAGCTGGAGCGGCAGGTAGTGTTGAGGAAGCGGGGAGCCTGCAGGAGGAAATCGACAGGCTTGGAGAGAAGGCAAAGAAGTGGCAGATGCAATAGAATGTGGAAAAGTATGAGGTTACGCACTTTGGTACGAAGAATAGAGGTGTAGACTATTTGCTAAACAGGAAAAGTTTTTGGAAACCTGAAGCACAAAGGGAATTGGGAGTCCTAGTTCCGGGTTTTTTTAATGATAATATGCAAGTTCAGTTACCAATTAGGATGACAAATGTAATGTTAGCCTTCATTTCAAGAGAACTGGAATACAAGAGCAGGACTGTACTGCCGAGGCTGTTTTCAGGCTCTCTAGTTAGAATATTGCAAGCAGTTTTGGGTCCTGTATCTAAGGAAGGGTGTGCTAGTGTTGGAGGGGGCCCAAAAGATGCTTACAAAAATGATCCATGGGATGATGGGCTTGTCATGAGAAATGGGTCTGTCCTCAATGGAGTTCAGAAGAATGGGGGCGGGCGGAGGAATCTGACTGAAACGAACAGAATACTGAGAGGCCTGGGTAGATTGAATGTGGAGAAGATGTTTCCACTTGTGGGAGAGACTAGGATTTAAGGGCACAGCCTCAGAATGAAGGGATGGCCCTTTTAGAACTGAGATGAGGAATTTCTTCAGCCAAGGGGTGGTGATTCTGTGGAACTCATTGCCACAGAGAGGAGGCCAAGTCATTGAATGGTTGAGCAGACCCGACGGGCCAAATTGCCTAACTTTTGTTCGTCTGTCTTATGATGTCTACCATTTATCATGATGCCTTTACAGAGAGATTAGCACTGGAGAGGGTAGAGGACTTTATTTCCCCTTTCAACTCCATTTTGATTTAGCATCTTTCCCCTCGCCCTAACCTCTGGTTGTATGCATTGCCCTTAACGGTCTTTGCACATAAATTATTCAATTGGCAAAACAAAAATGATTTGCTGGTGGTCATCAATAAATTTAAAAAAAGTCATGGGTGATTTTGTTGAGGGTAATAAAAGAAACGTTCAGTTCTGTGTAACAGCACTTTTGGATATACAAGACACATGTAAAAGGGCTAGGCAATGGCCACGTCCAACCACTGCCAGACCCCCACCCCTTGACATTCAGTGGCATGATGGCTAATTAATGTTCACGGCATCGCCTCGAGCTGAAAATTAGACAGACAATAACATAATGTGATTAATAAACAGGTCAGTGGCTATGTACTTTAAGTAATTCATGACCTGACTTCACAATGTCTGTCTATCACTTGCATGGTGAGGTATTTGATGGATTAGTTGTCCTGTACATGAAAGAATGTAGCAGCAACAAACCCAAGAATTCAACACCATCCAGGACAAAGTAATTTGCTTGATTGACACTGTGTTAAACATTCAGTCTCTTCCATTGGTGCACAGTGCCAATGTTGTTATATCATCCATTGTCACCATTACTGAGATTAGTTTTCAATTTCATAACTGTTAAATCGTCCATCAACTGCCATGGAGCTTTCACCTGGGCATATAGATTACTAGTTCAGTGACATTACCAGTATGCTACTATCTCTCTCATTAGATATTCAGATACACTAGCAGTACATCAAGCCCTGCATCCATTTCTTCTAGGGTTGTTTTCTTCATTTCATTTGGATGAAGCTCTTTTCCATTGTACTTTGGCATTGAAAATTGCTTATTTGTGTACTGTTTCAGAAAAAAACAAAATATTTAATTGAGAAAGGAAAGGGGAAGGAGAAGATAAATTTCAAATACATCAAAAATGTAACCAGGTGAGTTTTTTCAAAAACATGTTTTTGCAAGGTGTGATGAAGTAGATTCGGGATATTGCAGGGATTGAAGGATTGCCCACTGGTGGCAGAACAGGAAAATTGCAGATCAAGCAAATAGCCAGCACGAGAACAGCATAACTATTTCAATCAAACTATTCAGATGTGAAATACCAGCAAGACAGGTAGGACTTGAATCTGGGCCTGTAATCCCAAAGGTACGGACACACTGTGCTGCAAGACCCTTAAATCTTTTGTAATGTTTCTGCTTCATTTTGAACCAAGGATGTTTTGTGTATCAGGTAAATGTTTAACAACTGCATTACTGAAAGACAGCACATCAGACGAACACATACTCAGACAAGATCATGGAAAGTTATTGGGCAAACTGTAGAAGGGTTTGAAGACTATGACTTAGGAATTCATATTCTTGGAGATTTGAGGCCTCAGGAACTCAGTGAAGTAGGGTTAATGGGCATTCATAATCTAATACTCAATGCTGTTGGGACACAGAATCTGATTAATTTGACTCTGCAAAGGATGGAAAGAATTTTCCTTTTGAGTTTCAGTAGTGAAGTTACTTAAGCAAGAGGGACAAATTACCAAAATTGAACCAGACATGAAGGGTGACCTAGATATAGTAGATAACTTGGGCATTTTGTTTTTTTTTATTTCATTGGTGTGGATGTCACTGTCATGGTCAACATTTATTGCTAAATCTTAACTGCTCTTCAGAAGGCAAGGATAAGTTGTCTTCTTGAATGATTGGCTTGCTAGGCCATTTCAAACTGCATTTATGTGTCACGCATTGCTATGACCCTGGGGTTACATAAAAGTCAGATCAGTTAATGTTTCTCCCCCTCAAGGACATTAGTGTATTACATGAGTGTTTATAACAATCCAGTAGTTTTCATGGACATGATTAATGACATAAGTGTTTTTATTTCTAGATTTATTTAAATCTCCATTTTATGTGGTTAAATTTGAACTCGGATCTCTGCATTATTCAGTTAGGCCTCTGGATTAATAGTCCAGTAACGTAAAGGGGGGTGATGACCTAATGGTATTATTGCTGGACTGTTAATACAGAGACCCAGATAACATTCTGGGGACCCAGGTTCGAATCTCACCATCGCAGATGGTGGAATTTAAATATCTAGAATGAAGAATTTAATAATGACCGTGAATCCATTGTTAATTATCAGAAAAACCCATCTGGTTCACTAATGCCCTTCAGGGAAGGAAACTGCCATCCCTACCTGGGGATGTTGTCATACCTACCTGGTCTGGCCTAGATGTGACTCCAGACCCACAGCAATGTGATTGACCCTTAACTGCCCTCAGGGCAATTAGGGATGGGCAATAAAGCCAGCATACCCTCATCCTGTGAATGAATAAAGGGGAAAAAACACTATGCTATCCTGGGCCTCCTCCAGTGTCACAGTGATGACACCTGTAAACTGGAGGAGCAACACCTCGTATTCCACCTTGAGAGCCGACAGCTGATGGCCTAAACGTGGATTTCACCAGTTTTAAAATCTACCCACCCCCAGCCTCATCCCATGTCCAAGCCTGCCTCTTTGATATGACACAACCTGTCCATCTTCTCTCCCTCCTATCCACCCCTCCCACCTCACTGACCAATCCCCACCACTCCCTACCTGCACTCACTTATCACCATTCCACTTATCTTCCCCAGCCCCATCCCTCCTCTCTATTTATTTCTGAACTCCCTTCCCCCTCCCCATTTTTGAAGAAGGGTCCCGACCCAAAAAGTAAACATTCCTGCTCCTCTAATGCTACCTGACCTGCTGTGTTTCTCCAGCTCCACACCGTGTTATCTCTGACTCCAGCATCTGTAGTTTTTGCTATCTCTCACCATGCCACCATATTCTGGATAATGGAACAAATGTCAAAATCATGTCAATGTTGAAAGAAATTAAAAATGATTTACTTTTGTTGATGTGATGCAGGAAACGTTGAAATAACAAGCATAGTGTGGATTAATGGTGGATTGAGGGAGTTAGCTTGCATTCGGTTTCATCAGCATTCGGATGAAAGCTTTTTGTAGATAACATTTCCAATGGATAGCATATCCCTGCAACCTGGTACATATATATGTTTTAGGAAACTGAACTACATCCTTGTGAAGACCTGGCCAGTCTCATTGTCAGTTCTGATATGTTCTTAATATAGGGTAGTGTGTTAGGGCATACTGTGTTCTCTTGGCATTGGCTATCTAGTAGACATCTGCAAATGAAGTTGTTGGGAATCCGTTGTTAGCAAAGACCTTAAATAGGTGCTCTTCTTCATAGTTCTGGCGTGTTGCATTGAATTGTGGCCCATTTGAATAGTGTCCTAACACAGCTTTTTTTTTGTGGACGTTGGGGTGATTGCTGTGGAAGTTGAGGATTTGGTCATTGTGGGTTGCCTTCCCATATTCTGTGGTTTGGAACTCCCTGTTGGTCATTCGTTCTACCCTGATGTCTAGAAATGGAAGTTGATTGTTGTCTTCCTCTTCTCTCGTGAATTTGATCCCGCTGAAAACGTTGTTGATGAGTTGGTGAGTCTCTTCTAATTTGGTGTGTTTAATGATGACAAACGTGTCGTCCCCATATTGGATCCACAATTTTGACTGTTTGAGGGGGAGGGTAGTGCATTCCATCCTTTGCATGACTGCATCTGCAATAAGTCATGGAATGGGTGACCCCATAGGTGTGCCATTGATTTGTTTGTATATTTGGCTGTTATTTATTTGTACGTGCTGTGATCTTCTGGATCCCTACATTTCTTGCCATAGGAATTTCATGGGCTATCTTTTACATTTCTTGATATCTGATCACTACCACCTTCCATTCTTAATCCACAGGTCTGTTAAGAGATCTCCACTTTCTCAACAGAATCCTATTTTTCATTTAGTAGCACTGCAGAACTCTCACCTTCAACATCTGTTTGAACTAGATTACTGTACTAAATCCTGGAATGGTTTGATCAGAGAAGGCTGAATGAACACTTCCTTTGAATTATCTAAATTCCCCAAAGAAATTTTCACATAGCTAAATATCTGTCCATGGTTATTAAAACTCTGCCATTCAAGTGACTCTGGTGGAAAAGCCATACATTTCACCAACAAGATCTGGTGATTTCTAAAAAATGGCGATGGGTTTGCCTGCCTCATTTAGGAAATAAAGAATGGCTTTTCCTTTTGAATCCCCTACCACTCTCAGGTAGTTTGTTTAAAATACTTTCTTGACATCAACAGCAAAATGCTTAATTTTCCATCAAGTGTTGAACAATACGATACGATACTTGTGAGTGAGGACGGAGAAGCCTATTAGCATGATTTATCACTCATTAATATGCTCCTTATTTCTTAATCATGCTTCATTATTGTGCAGTTTCCCATTCAACCACACATTGGATAGAAGCTAGACTCAGAGTTCCTGACATGAAAGTCAGAGCAGTAACCTGACACCTCCAGTCGCTGATTCCTGTCACATTGTTGACACTGAAATAACTGCACAGAGGCCAGTATCCCATCACCAAGTCACCCTGTATTGTTGGCTTGCTCACCGAGCTGGTTGATTATTGTACAGACATTTTGTCACCATGCTCGGTAACATCATCAGTGTGGCCTCCAATGAATTGGTATTTATACGATCCGGTCTGTTAAGTTGGATTGTTTCATTTCCAGTTCTGTTCTGCATGGGTTTGTATAGGGGGTCTAATTCCACATGTTCGTTGATTGCAGTTCGGTTTGAAAACTGGGCCTCTAGGAATTCCCATGCATGACTGTCGTTGGCTTCAGCTAGGATGGTCACGTTCTCCCAGTTAAATTGATGGCCTTCATTGACCAAGTGCAGTGAGATCAAGGAAAGTTTCTCATGTCGTTTTGCTGCTAGCTGGTGCTCGTGTATCCTGATGGCTAGTTTTCTTCTGGTCTGACCGATGTAATGTTTGCTGCAGTCATTGTAAGGTATTTTGTAAACTACGTTGGACCTGCATGTCATGGGTATGGGGTCTTTAGTCTTTGTGAGTGTTTGTTGTAGTGTAGCTGTTGGTTTGTGTGCTACCATGATTCCCAGTGGTCATAGGAGTCTCATCAGTTCTGATATGTTCTTAATAAAGGGTAGTATGGCCAGTGTATTGGGGAGTACGGTTTTCTCTTGGCATTGGCTATCTAGTAGGCACCTGCGGATGAAGTTGTTGGGATATCCGTTGTTAGCAAAGCCTTGTATAGGTGCTCTTCCTCTTTCTTGTGTAGTTCTTGCGTGTTGCAATGAGTTGTGGCCCATTTGAATAGTGTTCTAAGACAGCTTTGTTTGTGGACGTTGGGGTGATTGCTGTGGAAATTAAGGATTTGGTCAGTGTGGATTGCCTTCCTACATACTGTGGTTTGGAACTCCCTGTTGGTCATTCGTTCTACCCTGATGACTAGAAATGGAAGTTGATTGTTGTCTTCCTCTTCTCTCATGAATTTGATCCCGGTGAAAACGTTGTTGATGAGTTGGTGTGTTTCTTCTAACTTGGTGTGTTTAATGATGACAAACGTATCGTCCACGTGTCAGATCCACAATTTTGGCTGTATGAAGGAGAGGGCAGTGCATTCCAATCTTCAGTGACGGCCTCTGCACTAAGTCCTGAAATGGGTGACCCCATACGTGTGCCATTGATTTGTTCGTAGATTTGGCCGTTAAAGATGAAGTGTGTGGTGAGGCGTAAGTCCTGTAGTCTGAGTATGTTGTCCTTGCTGATGGAGATGTTTGGATTCAGCGTTCCTGCTGCATCTTGTAATGTGGCAAGTGTTTCTTTGGCTAGTGGTATGTCAGTGGATGTGAATAATGCTGTGATGTCGAAGGATACCATAATCCCATCGTCGTTGATTTTAAAGTTCTTGAGGTTGTTAAGGAATTCCTGGGTTGAGTGGATGGAGTGGGGTGATCTGTTGACCAGGTGTTTCAGCCTCTGTTGTAGGTTCTTAGCCAGTTTGTGTGTAGGTGTGA